ATTTCAATTTCATTTACTAAATTAAAACCCAGAATGAAGAGTCCTTCTGTTTTATTGTCTTAGCTCCTGACAGTTTACATTTCGCTCATGCCTCTCCACTGTGGGTGTGATGGAATCCAGGCTGGAATTCACAGTTGATGTAGTAGGAAGAGAACAGAAGGCTTTGGGGTCAGAGTTGGCCACGTGTTTCCATCAGATTGCAGTCTGCTGCTGGGAAGTGTTTCTTCGGTGTGGGCATGATGCACCCTGGCGTTAATAGGCATTAAGGTCTACACTGAGGTGTTCAGGCTTTGCCCACTTTATTGGGCCAGAGCGGCGTTTCTCAGGATTCCCTTATCCAAAGTCACCTCTGTCTCCCTGGGACTTGGAAGGCAGAAGGGGAACAGTAGCTACTAGGCTCGGAAGGCACAGGTAACCCAGTCCAGTGCAGCTCACACCTGGTCCCCTCGATCACCTGGGGACAAGTCAGTAGCTGCTCTACCATCCTCTCTGAGTCTGCATCCACTCGGTTACTATGGTGAGCTCGGGTTTCTGATAAAACCCTCTCTGGTTGGTAATCCTTCTAAGCAGGGTTCTGCTACGTGAACCACAGCACCATGTGCAGCTATTTATGAGTGGTTAACTGGAGATAAGCTCACTGATTTTTTTCTGTCGGGGCAGGCTTTGAACCACGATTCTCAGATCTCATCCTCCTGAGTAGCTAGCATGACAGGTGTGAGCCACGGGCACCCAGCTTGGGTGTTTTTTTCTGCTAAAATGGGGTAACGCCAGTAATTATTTCAGACACAGCAGCAAATGTGTGACTAGAGCTCCAACAATTTCTAAAACCTGGGGTTGGCTGTGGGGTTTTGAAAATGGAGAGGGAGTGGGCTTTTCGGCCGTGTTCTCAACCAGCGCTCCATGAGGCTCCCAGCTCGGTTACCCACCTGGTTTCTGCAAGCATCTGTCCTCTTTTAATGGAACTAAGTAGTAATTATTTTCGTGCCAATATTGGGATTTGAACCTAGGCCCTGCCTGAACATTGTCTTTTCGCTTGTTTTTAACTCAAGGATATCGCTCTAGCACTTTCAGCCTTTTCCTGATAATTGGAGACCAAAGTCTCATGGACTTTCCTGCCTGGGCTGGCTTCAAACTGTGATCCTCAGGTCTCAGCCTCCTGATTACCTAGGATGATAGGCAAGATACACCAGTGCCACTCTGTAAATATGATGGTGAAGACAGTCATCCAGGTCAAATATTCATTACCATAAAAATATGTACATAGGAAACAGACATTTATAGCAAATATCAAATTGGTTCTGTGTTATCTTGCTCATGAGTCTAATGTCCCAGAAAACGTCTTTTTTTTTTTTGCTGCTGTTGTTTGATTGTTTTTATTTTGCTTTTGGTTTATGCATTTAGGCAGGAAACAGAGACATTAAAACACAATGAAAGCCAGGCACCACTGGCTCATGTCTGTAATCCTAGCTACTCAGGAGGCTGAGATCTGAGGATAGTGGTTCAAAGCCAGCCCAGGCAGGAAAGTCAATGAGACTCTGATCTCCAATTACTATCAGAAAACAGGAAGTGGTGCTGTAGAGCACTCCTCTTGAGCTGAAGAGGCTCCGTGGATGCACCCAGACCCGGAGTTCAAGCCCCATGACCAAACAAACAAACAAACAAGCAGTGAAGAAATTCTAAGTTTTGGTGTCGGTAATGGGGATTCAACTCAGAATCTGGGCATTCTTGCTTTTGTTTTCACTCAAGGCTCATGCTCTACCACTTGAGCCACAGCCCCACTTTTGGCTTTGTGCTGGTTCATTGAAGATAAGCCTTACAGACTTTCCTGCCTAGATTGCTTTGAACCATGACCCCCAGATCTCAGCCTTCTGCAGTGCACAGCTTGTAACTTTTAAAAAAGACAAAAGAATCTGGTTTGTTTCCTCTTTTGGATCTTTCACAAAAGAAGAAGCAGACTGTCCAATGATGACTTCCTGGTGCTACCCCTGGGCTGGGAGATGATCTTTGCACAGATGATCTTTGTACCCCGTGGCTTATTCTCTACAGACTGAACCATCAGAGTCAGCAAAGACCTGATCACCGTCTGGGAGCCAGATGGGCCACATCTCTACAGATTAATTTATACTCTGGACTTTTCAGATACGGGAAGTACGATTTGATTTTGCACTTTGAGATCATAGGTAGGCACTTACTCTCTTCTGTCTCTTCTCGACAAAATTTCCAGATGGAAAGATTATAGTCCTGGGGCTCTCTGTCCATTAGCTTCTTTTGCTAGAGTAGCACTTTACCACTTGAGCCACAGTGTTGCTTCCAGCTTTTTTGAGCACGTTATTGTGGGTAAGAGTCTCACAGAGGGGCTGGGAAGGTGGCTCAGTGGTAGAGCGCTTGCCTTGCATGCCTGAGGCCCTGGGTTCGATTCCTCAGCACCACATAAGCAAAAAGAAAAAAAAGCTGGAAGTGGCGCTGTGACTCAAGTGGTAGAGCACTAGCCTTGAGCTGAAGAGCTGAGGAACAGCGCCCAGGCCCAGAGTTCAGGCCCCACAACTGGACCTATCCACCCCCCCAAAAAAAAAAGGGTCTCACAGAGTTCCTGCCCAGGTTAGCTTCAAACCACAATCCTCACACTCAGATCTCAGCTTCCTGAATAGCTAGGATACTAGTTGTGAGCCACTGGTGCCTGCCTTAAAATGCATTTTGTCAGGCTACTCAGGAGGCTGAGATCTGAGGATCTGGTTCAAAGCCAATGTGGGCAGTACGTCCATTAGACTCTTATCTCCAATGAACCACCAGAAACCCACACGTGGTGCTGTGGCTCATGTGGTAGAACACCAGGCTTGAGCAAAAGAGCCCAGGTACTGAGGAAAAGCTCCAGCACCAGAAAAAAAGAAAGACAACATGAAGTGCAGATTTAATCAAGATCTGAGATTCAGTGATGACTTTTACACACGTTGCATAACTCCTACCTTGTGACTGTTAGGAGTGCACAGTATTTCTAGATAATGGATATCAGGTTTCTTCAACAACTAGTCAGGGAAAAATCATGTCAAGAGCGAGCGACCACAGACTTTTTACTTTTGCATGTGTGTCAGTATTGGGGCCTAGGAGCTGCCCTGGAGCTTTTTCATTCAAGTCTAGCGCTCTACGACGTGGCACAGCTCAACTTCTGGCCTTTTGGTAACTGAGAAAAGAATCTCATGGACTTTTCTGCCCTGGCTGGCTTTGCCCATTAATTGTCAGTTCTCAGCCTCCAAAGGAGATAGAATTACAGGTGGGGGCCATCAGTACCTGGGCAGAGTAAGAGATTGCAGGGATCCTGTGGGTGTGTGTTGGGGTGCGGGGTATCAGTGGATTCACTTTAGAAATTCCTTGTTCTAGGGTTTAAGTCTATATTTGAATATCATGTGGGAGGCTTGGTTTGGAATTTCCTGTAGATTGTGTAGTGGACAGGACTTGGGATTTCTAGACACCAAGGGCGTGTATATATATAAACTGAGATTTGAACTCAGGGTCTAGTTGATGCCCCTTAGCGTTTTGTACTAAAGTCTAATGCTCTTTCACTTGAGCCATAACTCTACTTCTGGCTTTTGGTGGTTCACTGGACATAGGAGTCTCATGGACTTTTCCACCCAGCTGGTTTGAACTCAATTCTGAGATCTCAGCCTCCTGAGTAGCTAGGGTTGCAGGTGTGGGCCATTGGTGGCCCTTTTGAACATTTTTAGGTATGCGATTGAAATGCAGCTTTTCCTTGTGAATGCAATGAACTTCTCCATTCCTCCCCAACCCCCCCCCACACACACACTGGAACCACAAGAACATGATAAATGGTTACTTCAACACAACAATCATGAGTCAAACTGTGTTTATTCCACATCTACAGAAGGAAGTCCACTTTCATCACTGTCTCAGTATTTCATGTCACCTGAAGCATCCCCACTGAGCAGTCTCAGTATCATAATATACGTATTTTGTGCCAGTATTGGGACCGAACTCCAGGCCTGGGTGCTGTCTCTGAGCTTTTTCATTCAAGATTGGCTCTCTGCCACTTGAACCACAGTTCTACTTCTAGCATCTTGCTGGGTCACTGAGGAGACTCTCATGGACTTTCTTGCTCATCTGGCTTTGAACTGTGATCTTTAGATCTCAGTCCAATGGGAAGCTGGTTCACACCAGGTGTGAGCCACCAGGCCCAGCTTCAACCTCAGGATTAGCAGCCTCTTCCCTGCAAGTCTATTACAGTCTTCACCTGTTCCTGCCTTAACCCATTCTTAACAAGTTACACAAAGATCACCTTTTGGGCTGAGCACTCCCAGAGTTCATCTGCTTTCTGACAAAAGCAGTCAGATTCCAGTTCTGCGGTGAGCTTGAGGAGCTATGCACCAAAGTGCTAAGTTCTCAGAGCTATTTTTCAGGTTATAAATAAAGACCAGTAAAACCCATGGATTGGGAGCATTTAAGTGTGTGTGTGTGTGTGTGTGTGTGTAATAGGGCTTGACCTCAAGGCCTGATTGCTTTCCCTTTCCCCTTAAGGCTGGTTCACTACCACTTGAGCCACAACTCTGCTTCCGGCTTTGTGCTGGTTAGTTATTGTTAATAGCCAAATGGATTTGTCTGCCCAAGTTGGCTTTGAACCTCACTTCTTAGCTGAGATTTCCAGTGTGAGCCTCCGGCACCTGGCCAGCTGAACACCTTCTCTGTGAGTCTCATTTTGAAGCCATCCATCCAGTTATTTATTTGCCTTAGCAAAGTTTCCTTCCCCGACCACAATGAAAGGGAAGAAATTCCAGCCACGCAGTGCTGTCTGTATTTCAGTCGAGATGTTGCCCGTGGATCCAGCAGACAGTGTTTCTGCCATCCCCAAGCCTCCAGCCACTTGGCTCCTCCACCCTCCACGGCCCTGGGAGCAGGTGGCCCTCACTTGCACTGAGCGTGTGAGCTGTGCTCAAGCTGCTTGTCTTTTTGGCTGCTGTTTCTGGGCCATGAAAAAACAACTGTTTCTGGAGCTCAGCCAGTTTTCAGCTCCTTATCTCAAATCTTCTTTTCAGGGAGGAGAAAGGACCCCAATGAGAGAGGCCAGCCACGCTGTCCCCCTGCCCTGCATTCAGCATGGGGACAAGGGACGGCTCACGTGGGGATGTTGGAGCCCAGGAAGCCCAGCCTCTGCTTGTTCTTTCTCTGTTCTGTCATCTGGGGAGGAAAAGACACGGGCATTCAGAACACCAGTGCTGTCACTGAGCCTTTATGCTGAAGACTAGTGCTCTACCACCTGAGCCACAGCACCACTTCCAGTTTTCTGGTGGTTCATGGGAGATCAGAGTCTCCCAGACTTTACTGCCCCGGCTGGCTTTGAACCAGGATCCTCAGATCTCAGGCTCCTGAGTAGCTGGGATGACAGGTGTGAGCCGCTGGTGCCCAGTAGTCTCTTTACTGCAAGTTAGACTCCTCAGATCACACCGCAGCTCCCTGAACCTCCAGGGATCATAGGGTAGAATGGCAGACCCCCCCCCCGCCCCATCCCCAGCTCCTGAACCTACTTAGAACCGGGCCCCTGTTCCGCACCTGCTCCTTCAGCTCGGCCAACTGCCCGGACAGCTGCTTCACCAGGCTCATGGTGGCCTCCAGCTTCTCCTGCAGGCTCCGAATCTCATTCTGCTCACCATCACCTTCGTTGCCGATGAGGGACATGGCGCGCATCCGAGGAAACCAGTCCAGGTTTTTCTCCTAAAAGCAAAGACATGTGCGGAAGCGTCAGAGGCAAATCTAAGAGGCACTGCCGCGGGGCCGGGGTGAGCTCAAGGCCCAGCTCTGCATCCACGCCCTGCCGTCTGAGAGCTCGTCAGAAGCAGTGAGAAGATTCCAGAAGAAGCGTCGTGCGGAGGGCACGCCACCCCTCACAGGCCAGGCCTTCTGAACTCAGACGCAGGAGCTCCTGCTCACACTGCCCACCTTTCCCTCTCTGCACCCCCATTCTCCTGTTTAACCGGAAGCCTGTGTCTGTACCCTGAAGTCGTGAAGATCTCCTCGGGTGCTGTCTGCCACCGGTTCCCAGGAATCCAGCTTCTTTATCTAGCGTTCACCAGCTCTGTCTATTTGGCCTATGGAGGTGAGTGGCCAGAACTAATGTAAGACTCTCCTGGACTGGGCCTGGAGTCTACAAACATGGTTTCAGAAACCCGGGAATAAGAAAGTAGACAGACGGGGAATATGCCTGATATCACAAGCTTGCATCTTGAAGGGAACCTCTCCCACTCGCTGAGATAAACCTTTTTTTTTTTTTGGTCGGTCATTGAGCTTGAACTCTGGGCCTGGGCGCTGTCCCTCAGCTCTTAAGCTCGAGGCTGGCGCTCTACCACTTGAGCTACAGTGCCACTTCCAGTTTTTCTGGTGGTTCACTGGAGATAAAAGTCTCACAGACTTTCCTGCCTGGACTGGCTTTGAACCACAGTCCTCAGATCTCAGCCTCCCGAGTGGCTAGGATGACAGGCGTGAGCCACCAGTGCCAACACAGAATAAGGGATGTTTGAAACGCAATCCCCCCAAACTGTGCTGAGAGCCTTGCGCTGTCAACCACGGCCACCACTGCTGTAGCTGCAGCTTTCATCCTGCCTGTCCCAGGGTTGCAGATGCCCAGGAAAAACGTAGCAGTCTAGCTTGTTTTTTCAACAAACTAACAAATGCCAAAGCTCTAATTCTGGAAAAAATCAATCAGGAGATGAAAGAGTTAAGAACAGCTGCCATAGGTTACTTGCTGTTCAATCGTTTAGGATGTGAACAATTTAAAGGATTGTGCTGCTTTAATATAACAATTCTCAACATATTCAGCATCAGTTGCACTTGCTCCAGAAGGCGCTGGGCAAGTTAAAATACAGCTCTAGCTGGGGCGTCCCAGAGTGGCTTTCCCAGAGCTGGGCTCTCCTGGGCCAACCGTTTCTAGACAGGAACTCTGGGATCTGAAACTGTTAGCGCCCCAGATCTCAGCTACACGGTCTGGCCTGTTCCTGCCTTGCTCCCTCTCACGATGGACGAAGGAGCCCGCAGCGGGCTGCAGCCTTGGTCCACCCACCGAGCGTCTGTGCTCAGTGCCAGCATGCTACCAGTTCAGCCACAGCGCTGCCACTGCTGGGTTATGTGGCGGTTCACCAGAGTTGAGAGTCAAGAGGACTTTCCTGCCCAGGCTGGTTTTGAACTGTGATCCTCAGACCTCAGCCTTGTTGTGCAGCTAGGATTCTAGTCACCAACAAGGATCTCTTTCTTCTCACACTTTTGGTTGATTGATACGGTAAATGATAGCGTGGGACTGTCCCACTGTTTACAACCAATGTTCCAGTTCCTTCCAGGCTGAATGCACTCCAGGTTCCGGCTGGCCTGTGGCCACGTCACGCCAGCTTCCATCCTCGGCTCCACCAGCCCTTCCCTGGAGCTCCGCCTGCAGCGGCCGCCTCTCCCTGCCCAGACCCACCTGAGCTCCCGCTGGCCTCGCCCACCCCCAGACCCTGCTGCTGCCTGCATGGCAGCGGCCATACTGCGCTCTCTTTCTGGGGCAAATATGGCTCCTCTTCTAACCCTTGTAACACTCTCCTGTACCTGCCCTCCGCGTGGTCCCCTGGACGGATGTGTCCACCGGGACACACTCCAAGCCCTGCAGCTCCAGAGCCAGCACGGAGCTGAGAAGCTCGGGACCAGATGCCCTGTCTCTTCTATAACACTGGACTCTGGAGCTCTGTGCTGCTTGCCCCGGCTTTCCCCTCTGATGTGGAGACGTTTTCAGGAGAGAGGCGCTCACCCACCTCGGCAGAGCAGGGAGGCCCTCCTCCGTGACCACCCAGGACCGCCCAGCCCAGCCCTGACAGCTGGCACTTCTTCTGGAGATGACAGAACTTGGAACCCCGTGTCCCCCCAGTGCCTGTGCCACGCCAGCCCACACCCAGGCAGGTCTGTGAGGATCGATGGCACCAGCCACCACTCCCAAGGGGGGGCTCTCCAGGGGGCAGCATACAGCCCCTGTCTCAGACAAGGCAGCCTGGCCGTGTGGCTCACGAGGCTCTGCACAGAAGACATGGAGATGTGGTTTCCATAGAAACTGAAGAAGCTGAGCTGGGAGCACTGGCTCAGGGCGGGCAGCATGCACAAGAGCTGGGAATCCGTGATGGCACAGTCCTCCAGGGCCAGGGTCTCCAGGGTGCCGGCCGCGTGCTCCAGTAGGACTCTCAGGGGCTCAGGACTGAAGTTACCCAGGGGAAAACTCCTCAGACGCAGGTGCTTGAGCTGCCTGGAGCAGGGCCACTGGGACAGGAACCACAAGTCAGCCTCCTTCAGTGGACACGAACTCAGAGACAAGGTCTGCAAAAGGGTGAGGTTCCTGAGGATGGTGGGCAGCTGTCCATAAAGGAAGAAGACTTTGTGCACATACAGCTCCTGCAGATGCTGCAGCTGCCCCAGAAATCCTTCAGGCTAGCACGGAGTCCCCGGTCACAACGGGGAAGGTGAGGATGTAAAGGTTCCATCTGGCCAGAACTCACCACCAGCTCCTGGATGGAGTCCAGCCTCACCACACTCAGAGCCTTCTGGATTTTATAGATGGAGCCAGACAGAATCCACAGCTTCCTGGAGCACAGCTTGACTTGTTCTTTCCTCTCCCTGGCCCACTGGAGCAGGTGGCCTTGGAGAGCATCCTGGGCGCCATCTTTGATGGTCAGGTCCATGAGTAAAATCGAGGGCTGCTCTTCAGTCATCATTGAACCACAGCTCTCTGTTGGCCTGTCATTCAGGACATCTGGATAAGAGATTCGGGCCATTGAAGGGTAGCTCTGTATCCAGATGTTGGGGTGCTCATTCCGCAGGTCGAGGACTTGCAGTTTCCACCGACTGGGGCACTCCTTCTTGGCCAGTAGCAGGTCGAGCCCATCCAGGACAGCCTTGAAGGTTTCCAGGTCTGGAGACTCTGCCAGGTCCCCCAGGGGGAGGCAGGAGAAGGGTCAGGCCTGCACCAGGGCCTTCAGCATCTCTGTGTGGGCCCTGGCATAGACCTCCATGAACAGCGAAGGGAACAGCAACACCAGTAGATCCTCCAGGGCAGAGATGGCCAGAGCCTGGCTGCTCAGCAGACTCTGCATGGCCAGATGCTGGAGCGAGGGAGGGACTCCAATGCTCATCTTGATGGACCAGATGTGGACCAGGTGTGCAGGGCTCTCTGAATCCCAGCAGGGCCAGGCACTGACTGCAGCTCAGGAACAAACTGCTCTTTGGTGGCCCACTAGTGTCTAACTCAATCCCACCGCACCATTGAGTATCTATCCAAGAGCAGCTTCTGATGGGATTTCTGAGCCACACCCATTACACCTTGGTTGAGATTAATTCACAGAATTATTTCAACCCAAAAGTGCTAGGTTTAAAGGTGTGACCCACACAGGCCAGCTTTTCTCTGAAATGTAAAACACACTGGAGCAAAAAGACCTCTCACCCTTAACCTGACATCCCTCCAGACATTACACGGCCCCGAGCCTGCAGAGGGTCCAAGAAGAGCAACCAGCCCAAACATATAACACCCACGAGACTGCAGGAACTTCTGTGTATTCCTTCCCTTCCCTTCCTTCCTTCCTTCCTTCCTTCCTTTCTCCCTTTCTTCCTTTCTCCCTTCTTTCCACCTCTTTGTTGTGCCAGTCCTATACTTTGAACTCTGAGCTGGACGCTGTCTCTTAGCATCTTATTTTCAAGCCTAGTGTTCTACCGCTTGAGCCATAACAGTAAATTTTTCTGAAGAATTTCTTGGAGATCAGAGTCTTGACATGGACAAGGAAGTGGCTGCTTACCAGAACAAAGGCCCCTAAGGAGGTAGTAACTTGGCCTGTATGATGAAAACACAGTTTTGCCCCACGAATTCTTAGGAAAAGCCTGCAGTAAATGCTTCATTCTATCATAAGAATGCTGCTACCTAGAGATGCTAAAGCACAACTTGAGCATAACTTCCCCTCGGGCTTGTGAGTTCTAATTTTGTGTAACACAGAAGAAACTCTGAGTCGTAGACAGCTACATTTTCTATTGCTTATCTTAAATGAGCAACTAGAGGTGGCAAGTGTCTTACCAACTCTGGTAAATCAACGCAGAGTGCGCAATGCCAGGAAACCAATGTTCTCCGGTTCATATCAAACATTATGTCTATTCTTCACACACGCACAACTTAATTTTTATTTCTGTGCCCATAGTGGGGCTTGAACGCAAGCCCTCTTATTTGCTTGGCTTTTTAAAAATTCCTAGTTATCCCTCTACCACTTGGGCCACAACGTGTACGGGGAGGGGGGGGTGATGGTGAATTAGAGACAAGTCTCTCAGACTCGTCTGCCCAGGCTGGCTTTGAACTGTGATCCTCAGATTTCAGCATGAGCCACCTGGTACACCCTGAAAGTGTGACTCGGCTGCATCTGCTCATAATGGGCAAGTTCCAGGGACTGAGAGCTTCAAGAAGGGCCTGCTGGAAGGCTGGGGACGGCCACCACGGGGAGGTGCTGGCACTGCCTACAGCAGGTTGTCACTGCAGATGAATAACCAAAAATCCAATGATTTTCAGCAAGGCAGGGCTTCTCCAGCGACTGGGAGGCCTATTCAAACATTACCAACAGCAACAATAGAGAAAAACATCGCTAGAAACGTCGCCACCTGGGAGCAGCATTGGGAAGAGAAGGTAGAGTCCTAGAAAGTCTGATCACTCACCGCAATCATCTGCGCCACGTAGCTCTCGGGGCCGGTGTACTCGGTGGGGTCCTTCACCCTCACCAGGACGACGAAGTACAAGTAATGCCACATGTTGTGCTCTGACTTAATGTGCTCCTCGAAGGAGACGGTCTTATTATCAAACTTGTCCCTCTCGAGTCCTGCAAGACACAGGACACACGACAGATGCGACCTGCCATCCTGCACCACCTACTTCTAGATAATCATGACTGTGCACCAACACTTCCATTAGAAGGTTATGATAAACGGGGCGCACCAGGCTGGGAAGGTGACTCAGTGGTAGAGCGCTTGCTCAGGCTGGCCTTGAACTGTGACACTCAGATCTCAGCCCTCCCCAGTATCTGGGATGACAGATGTGAGCTGCCAGCAACGCAGCGGGATTTGTCTTTCTTAAAGAAGAGAAATGAGCATTCTCTAGAAATGGAGCATGCCAGCACTGCTATATTATCTGGGTTTTTACCCAGTTTTCAATATGGAAAACAGCTCCCAAAGGCATGGCAAGTAAGAATCATCCCAGCCGCACTTTCCTGAGAAATATCTGCTTCCTGTGTGGTTTCTCCATGTGGAGGGGCCTGGCCACAGATGGACAGCACTGTCCCGTGGACAGCACCGCTACACATGGATGCTCACCACAGATAAAGCAGGTCGTCTTCAGGATTTCTTCTTTTTTCTGCTTTTCACTTCTGAGATCAGCAAAAGTATCGATGATAACACCAAAAATCAAGTTCAGCACGATAATGATCACGATGAAAAAGAAGAGGAGATCGTACACCACTCGAGCCGCGAACAGGGGCTCCTGAAACCAAACCACAACACTTGCACACATTTCCCAGCATAAAACCATCCGTGTTTGCTCCACGCATAGAAACAATGGGACGTTATTTATGCATTATGAAAAATACACTACCGAGTGGACACTGACTTCTACTTCAGCAACTTTAGAACGCACACGAAGTCGTTGTTTAATAGCTGAGGGGCTGGGCCTAGACGGGTGAGTGAGAATACCATAACACGGCTGGCCAGTGGCAGGGTTAAGGATCTGCTAAGCTCCCAGTGCAGTAGTTGAGATTTTACACTGATTGAAAACACTGTCTGAATGGCGGCTTTAATATATGAAATGCATTGGAATTCGCTATTCATTGCAGATAAATCATGGAGGATATTTGTATGCAGAAGCAGAGAAAATGAACATGAGGGGAGAGACAGAGAGACAGAGAGACAGAGCCAGCCAACCGTAGCACTCAACTCCTACATAAACTTCACAGCCAGGATTGTGCTGCTGTAGAACCCCCCGTGGTTCAGACGTGCAGTACACACTGAGTGATTCCTAGTAGTGCATGTGCTAGAAATCCCAGTACACCATTAATTGTATGAAAACCAGTGAATGTCCACGCCCCTCATGATCCTTCAAACGATACAGCATGTTACCCTGTAAGGCAACTCGCTGCGTGCATTAAGCCGGGCTGCAGCGCGAGACACTGGCGGCTCAGGTGACTGGAAGCTTAGCTCCTCCAGAGGTTGAGATCTGGAGGACTGCGGTTCCAAGCAGCCTGGGCAGAAAAGTCTTTGAGGTTCTATCTCTGTTTGACCAGCAAAATTCCAGACTGGAGGCATGGCTCAAGTGGTAGATTACCAGCTGTGAGCAAGAAAACTGAGAGTGAGAGCAAAGAGGCCTTGAATTTCAGCTCTGGAACGCACACGTACACACACGTATGCGCACACACACGCACATGCACAGAGGTGGAGAAGCAATCTCTTCCCTGCGGCTTACGTCCTTGGACGGTCTCCGCAGCACATCCCCCACGCCGCCTCCGTTCCGGAGACCCTGGTTCAGCACCGTGACGATGCACATGAGCAGTGTGTCGCATGCCCTCTCGACGCCATCTTCATACTCCTCGCCCGCTGCGGAACATGAGTCACACACACGTTATCTCCATCAACCACCCACATGTGTTCTTTCCCTCCCTTCTTTCCCGCGTCTCTCGCTTTTCCTTCCCCCGTTCTCCTCTCCTCTCCCCTGCCTCTCCTCTCCTTTCTTGCCTGCACCGTGGTTTCCATTCAAGGTCTCTCGCTCACCTACCCTGCCCAGCTGGTGCTGTACTGCGTCACCGTGCCTCTTGCTCTGGAGTCTCATGGGCTTTTCTGCCCAGGCTGACTTCTGTTATCCTCCAGAGTCTGACAGGCTTCCTGTACTGAGCTCTGCCCACCCATACTGTGCGCCTCGATTCAGTTTAATACGACCTAGTTACTGCGAGCAGGTGCATCACAGGTGGACAGAGGAAAGCCACATATGGAATGGCCTGAATAGCTTTTCTTTTTCCACAGCGGGGAATGGCAAAATTGCAAAGAACAGACCCTAAGAAGGCTAGCCTCCGCCATGCCTTCACACAGAGAGAGGAGAGGGAGCTAACCCTCTAGAAACCAGTCCAGCCTGCCAGAGACGGCAGGCCTGCAGGAGGGACGAAGCTGGACACCGGTCGGACCCAGTTTCAAACTCTGCTCTGCTCTGGAATAGGCACCAGGGTGAATTTCTGAACCCAGCGTTCTCTACAGAACGGAGAGCACCGGCACGGCTACTACTGTTCCTTTCTCTTGGCCAAGTGTGGGAAGCTCTTTGAACGATGCTACAGATGGCACACGCAGTGAGCTTATGTGGAGAAATGAGGCCTAGGCACCGGGGGCTCTGCCCGCCATCCCAGCTACTCAGGAGGCTGAGAGCTGAGGACCATGGTTCAGAGCCAGCCCGGGCAGCAAAGTCCTTGAGACTCTGATCCCCAATGAAGTGCTTAGAAAAAGTCCGGAGTTCTGCTACGGTTCAAGGGCGAGAGCTAGCCCTGAGCAAAGAGAAACTTGGGGACAGGGCCAAGCCCTGGGTTCAAGCCCCATGACTGGCACCAAAAACAACATCAGAGAAATACAGAGAAGAAGATGTGTTACAGGGGAATCGGGATTGGATTAAGTTTGTTTGACGGCAGACTTAACACGTATCTGCCTGATTATTTAAGATGATGTGTGTGTGTATGTGTGTGTGCGCATGCATGCGCATACATGTGCACTGATACTGGGGCTTGAACTCAGAACTGACACTGCCGCTTAGGTTTCTGTTGCTTTTCTTGTTTGCCTTTGCTCATTTTGCTCCGGGTGGGTGCGGTACCAGTTGAGGTGCACCTCCACCTTCAGCTCTCGCTGGCTAAACGGAGATGAGCGTCTCATGCTCTTTACCGGGCTGTCTTTAAACCTCGATCCTCAGATCTCAGCCTCCTGAGTAACCAGGGTTACTGGCGGGAGTCACTGCCATCCAGCTTGACTGCGTTTTTCATGTATGTGTTGGAGCTGAGGCTTGAACTGAGAGCCGTGCACGCTGGCTGGCTGGCTCCACTGAAGGCCAGCACTGTGCCACCGAGCCACACCTTCACCCGAGGACAGTGGACGTAATATATAAACACCTGAGTATAGAATCGTGCCTTTGAACCAGAGGGAAATGAGCAGAAAGACACGATTTCATACAACAATGAAGAACTTCTTGTGTGCTGATTTGGGGAGTGTGTGGCCCCCAGGTGTGAGTCAAGGTGAGAATTTAAAAGCAATGAGAAAAAGGAACAGGAAGTCTCGTTTCAGTGGCCTGTTCAGCACTATTGTACGAACTGTAAAACTTCCTCTGAACTGACGGTCCTTTCCCATCACGTGATGGAAGTAGGCCGGCGCTTCTACTTCAGTTAGATGTGCTGGGACACCGCCAGCCAGGAGGGCTGGTATCAAAGACAGCAGCAACGTGCGCATGCTCACTTACGGTCAAGTCCGACGCACGCTCTGAGTTAAAAAGCAGGAGAGCTCAGACACCTTTTGAAAGGAGCAGTGGGAAGGAGACAGGCGTGTGTCAGTGGAGTCAGGACACCAGGACAGACAGACAGCAAATCAATCAGCAGACAGCTCGGCCCATGATGTGCTAGTTAGGTGTCAATGCACAGGGCAGACTTTAATATGGAGCACGTAAGAGGCTGAAGGCACTGGTAGAGAGAGATGTGGTTTACCCAATGTGCACTCTGTATGGCGGCTACATGGCTAGAATTAGGCACGCTGTTGGTACGTAGTGGCCTTCTCTGCTTCCACTTGTTCCTTAAGCAACAGAACAGAAGTCTTGAGCAGTGTCAGCAGGAGAAATGAAGAACATCGCACTGTTCATTCACTCTCTTTGCAATCACCCGCATAAAGCCAGGTTGTGCTATAAAGACCAACGGCGCTGGAACTCACTGGGTCTCTAGGGGTTCTGAGCCTGTCTGTCCAGGTCATTTGGGAACGCCGGACAGGAGAAAGGGGTTCACTCATGGGTGAATAGAAAGATCTCAGGACACATTTCCTCAACTGTCATGTTTCAACATAAGCTGCACACTCGGTCCTCAACCCTTCCCTCACATGAACTTCTAAGAGCAACATTCCTAGAGTGTTCCGGCTGAGGTGGTCACCGCCCTGGCCCTCCATACCAACCTGCGCTGGAGGCGGGGGCTGCAGGTGAGCAGCTCTCCTTGTCACAGGTCCCCAGGGTGGAGGGCAAGATCACCGAGGGCACATCCCGATTCCCTGGAAGAAGGTCGGAGGCAACCCGGAGAGGACAGGAATCAGAAAGACATCAATGGCCACGCTGGAGCTCAGGCTGGAGCTCCATCTCCAGCACCCGCACACACACCCCCCCCCACAGCGTGGCCTCTGGGAACAGGGTTTCCATATTCACCCTACTTTAGCTCGGCAGCCTTCATCTTGGGTCATCCAAGAGCCAGGCCCTGCCATAGCCGCCCTTTCCCACCCAGACCGCTCGGAGCCCCAGCCCCGGCTGCATCAGCAATTCCTCGCTGCCGTAGTCGGGAGCCCATCCCCGGCCCCGCGCGGTTTGAGCGTCCAGCTGCCAGTGGCCCTTCCCCGGCCAGTGCCGGCTATGCAATGTTCCGTCCCGGCTATGGGCCAGGTAGAGGATGTCTGCCTGGCTGCAGCCAGCTGCTGGAGCTGCCCTGGCTGGCTGCTATCTCTGTGCCCCGCTGCGACCAGGAAAGGGCTCCAGTTCGCAGCCCTTTTTCCTGTCTTCAGCCTCCTCATGGCTGTATAACCACCTGCCCAACCAGGGGGCCGGCTACTCGCAGTCCCACAAGCTAGCCTGTCAGTGCCGGCTGACGGTAAGTTCTGTGTCCGTGTGGTTTTCTGGGACGGGCTTACAAACAGGAGCACATAATGCTCCAGGGCAGGAAGAACCCCCGACAGCTAGACCCTCCTGCAGCGTCCACGTCCCGGCTGCTCATCATCTGATTCCCACCCTAGGAGGAGCAGGAAACGCGGTGAGCACAGTGTGACAGGGGACTTGGGTTAGGAGGGGACTTTGAGAGGAGGGGGAGGCCAGGTGGGAGCAGGGCCAGGGCCCTGGAGCTGCGATTGTGAGAGATGGGTCTCCAGGGGCCATCCCATGTGAATGACTGTTTACAACAGCAGCACGGCAGGCCTTGGGGATTTGGAGAAGGGACAGCCACAAAGGTGACACAGAGAGGCACGGCGTCACTGTAGCTGGAGGAGGAGCAAAGCGATGCGGTCAAGTCATGGCAAACCCTGAGACCAAACCAAACCATCTCCTTCTGTGTCTCAGACCTCCTCATACCGCCTCGGAGCTCGAGGCAAAAGGCCGAGCAAGGAAGGAAGAGACAAGCACCCTACCTTTCTGAGACTACAGTCACAGCGCCGGCAGTAGATGCACAATTCAGGAGCTCTCAGCTTGTAACCTTCAGTCCCCATGTTGGGTATTTCTGTCCTGTCTGCATAGATCTTCCAGTTTGTTCTACCATGTTTGCCTGGGGCTGGCCCCTTCCCCACAGCCTCTCACTCTGCTGGGATGACTTACTTATGAGCTGAGGCGGGGTCTATCTCTAACCAAACTGCTCTCCCAAGTCTCTGGGATTACAGGTGGGACCCACCAGACCCAGCCTAATGAGAATATTTTACACGTGTCTCTCATACTAAAGTTTTTACTAACTGATGTTCTCCTCATCAAAATCATGTATCACTGGCGTATTTGTATATAATTAGGATATATGGACATTAAACATATACGGACTACTGGCTGTTAATTACGTTAGATATTGTTCTCCAGGGAGAGAAGGGAGGGAACAAACTGGAGATTTTCAAAGCTGTTTCTCTACACTGGAGTATCTGACTCTAATGTAAAATATGGTGAGAGTTATTAAATCTTTCTGAGACTGAGGTTAGCTGTTATTTTGTTTGTTGTTGTTCTACCCATACTGGGGCTTGAACTCAGGGCCTCAAGTTACTAACTCGGCTTTTTTGCTTAACATGGAGTTCTAAAACCTAAGCCAAACCTCTAGTGTAGCTTTTTTTTCTGGTTAGCTGGAAATAAGATACTCTTGGGTTTGTTTTTCTGGGCTGGCCTCAAATTGCTGTTCTCAAATCTCAGCCTCCTTAGCAGCCAGGGTGATCCACAGGTTTATTGTATAAACATTTCCCAAGACTCATGGACTGATCATCCAGAGCCCAGGACTACTGAACACTCATAAATATCCTCAGACCAAACAAGAATGTATTTTCAAAGGAATGAAAGGAAAAGGGCTTTTTGTGTGTATGGGGCACTGGGACTTGAACTAAGGGCCTCACACTCTGCCTTAGCTTTTTCTGCCAAGGCTGGAGCTGAACCATTTGAGCCTCAGTTCCACTGGGTTTTCTTTTTGCCAGTCCTGGGGCTTGAACTCAGCATTTGAGCGTTGTCCCTGAGCTTTTTGCTCAAGGCTAGTGCTCTACCACTTGAGCCACAGAGCCACTTCTGGCTTTTTCTGTGTCTGTGGTACTGAGGAATCGAACCCAGGACTTCATGCATGCTAGGCAAGCATACCTTGCCACTTTTGGCTCTTTGCTGGTTCACTGGACATAAGAGCCTCATGGACTTTCCTGCCTGGGCTGGCTTCAAACCTTGATCCTCACATCCCAGCCTCCTGAGCAGCTGGGATGACAGGCGGGAGCCAGTGGGGCGGGGCCTGACAGACAGGTCTTTGCAACCCCATGAACAGGCCACGTGCAAGTCACGTGCGTGGGTGGAGGCTCCCGGGGTGGCAGAAGTACCTGCGGCTGGGGTCCTGTTCCTCAGTCTGTCCACCTCCATGGTGAAGTCGTCCTTCAGGAAGAGGAAGCCGATGATGGAGAAGAGGTAGACGAGGATGAGGGCCAGAACGGCGGTCAGGATGATGGAGCGTCCGTTCCGGGTGACGCTCTTGATGACGTTGAGCAGGGTCTCTTCTCTGTACACCAAGTCAAAGAGCTGCAAAGCAGGGAACCGGAAAATGCCACGGGGCCCGGGTGAGGGACACCATGATAACAGCACACAGACACACATCACCCTTCGCTGATGAAAACGCTAACCAGACCACTGCATCAACAACCTGACAAAATGCCCATTGCTTGTCCTACTGCAGTGCATCAAACAGGTTTTTTGTGGATGAATCTGGCATCATCTATGAGTTTGTGGGGGGGGGGGGCAGTCCGGGGTTTGAACCAGGATGTGGGTGATGTCCCTGAGCCTTTCTGTTCAAGGCTGGAGCTCTAACTCTTGAGCCATAGCACCACTTCCAGCTTTTCTGGTGGCTCACTGGAGATAAGAGTCTCATGGACTTTCCTGCCTGGCCTGGCTTTGAACCATGATCCTCAGATCTCAGCTTCCTGAGTAGCTAGGATGACAGGCATGAGCCACCGGTGCCCACCTGCACATGTTGCTTTTATGAGCACTGAGATATCACTTTCTTACAGACTGTAGAAATAGAACACTTGAATTTGAGCCAGGTAGAAACTATTCAGGAGGCTAAAATCTGGATCGTGGTTGGAAGCCAACCCAGGTAGGAAAAAAAAATGCCACGTGATTCCTATCTCCAATTATCCATCACCAAACAAACAAATCTGGAAGTGGGGCTGTGGATCGGATGTTTAGGGTCAGATTTGGGGCAAAATAGCTAAGGGGCAGTCCTCAAGGCCCTGGGTTCAAGTCCTGATACAAGCACACACAGAAAAGAATACTTCCATCTGAATTTAGGGAAATTATACATTGGGCACATCTAGCTGATGAGTTGATGATTCATTTACTGTACCTGTGTGTGTGTGTGTGTGTGTGTGTGTGTGTGTGTGTGTGTGTGCCCAGAACACGTACATTAAGTGTTTGTATGTGCAGTGAGCTCAGTTGCATAGTATAGGGATTGCGCCACACATTGCTCTCCTGTATTTTTTTCTTCTATTTTGCTATTCTCATTTCTTATTTGCAAATAAATATATACTGTTGTACTGTTGAAAAAAATGTACGTGTGAGTGTGCGTGCATGTGCACGCACGCCAGAATGCAGGGCTTCGTGTTTTCACTTCAGGTAAGCATGCTAACATGTGAGCCACAGCACCACTCCTGGCTTTTTCTGTGTATGTGGTGCTGAGGAATCGAACCCAGGGCTTCACACATGCTAGGCAAGCGCTCTACCACTGAGCCACCTGCCCAGCCCTGCTCTGATTTGTAACTTAACAGTACCCAAGGAAAGGGCACTGGATTTGTTGCTCTGGATTCATTGTGAAGAAAGCTTATGGCTTTTAGAAACCTCTGTGGCCAGAAACAGATGTGGCCAAAGTTCTGCACAACCAAAGGATACTGATGTCGGACAGATAGACTGTTATTTCCTTTTAAGTCAGTTGTGGGGCTTGAACTCAAGGCCTCTCAGTCTCACTTGGCTTTTTTGCTCAAGGCTGGCCCTCTACCACTTGATATACACCTCTGCTCATCTGCCCAGGCTGGCTTTGACCCTTCATCCTCAGATCTCAGTGTCTAATGTGGCTGGCAGGCAGGCAGGCAGGCAGACAGACAGACAGACAAGACAGACAGATCTCTCTATATATTCATGTTTTTTGTGGCCAGTAGTGGGGCTTGAACTCAGGGCCTGTGTGCTGTTACTGAGCTGGCGCTCTACCACTCGAGCCACAGCACCACTTATGATTTTCTGGTGGCTCACTGGAGATCAGAGTCTCACAGACTTTCCTGCCTGGGTTGGCCTTGCACTGGGATCCTCAGATCTCAGCCTCCCGAGCAACTGGGATGACAGGCATGGGCCACAGTGCCAGGCTTTTAAAAATTAAAACCCCCCACCAGGCCGGGGACGCAGCCCCAGCAGAGCCGGGCGGGCCCGGGGGTGTGCTCCACAGCCAGGAGTGGCCATAGCTGCACTTGCGCAGCCTCTACTCACCAGGAAGCTGTAGAAGAACTCATGCACGAAGAGGCCCAGCATGCAGACCAGCACGTAGGCCACGTGATAGAGGAAGGCCACGTCCAGGACCACCGCCCGATACCCGCGTGTGAACGTGCCACGATTCCCCACGAAGCTCACCAGGAAGACGATCTTGTTGCAAAGCTGAAGGAAGGGAAGGCACGAGGTCACCGCCTGGAAGGCCCTCGGGAGACGCTGCAAAAGTCTAGCATGTGTCCATGCGTGACTTCTCCCGTGTAGGAATCTGCTCCACACACAGCCCTCGGAGCCCAGCTGCCAGAGAGGCTGGCAGCCAGGACTGAGGCAGGTTTGTTGGTGGTGTTGTTGGTGGTGTTGGTGTTGGTGTTGCTGGTGGTGTGGTATTGGTGGTGGTGGTAGTGGTGGTGTTGATGTTGTTGTTGCTGCTGCTGTTGGTGGTGGTGGTGGTGGTGTGGTATTGGTGTTGGTGGTGGTGATGGTGGT